ACTTAGGAGAAGCGCATATGACGTGCGGACGCTATGCGAAAGAAGGGGAAAAGCCCGGCAAGCCCTCCACGCACTGCTTTCACTGCGGTGAGCCGCTTGAGGAAGACTTCTACACAGACAAGGTAATGGATTGCTGTGAAATTACCGGTGAATATAAAGGCGCCGCGCACTGGAAGTGCAGATATCGAATAGACCCAAACATGGAGATTCCTGTGTTCTTTCACAACCTTCGCGGATACGACTCCCACCTGCTTTTACAGGGAGTAGAGGGTCACGAAGTAAAGTGCATACCTAACAACAAAGAACGGTATATGTCCGTAACCATTGGCAAGCTAAAGTTCCTAGACTCCCAGCAATTCATGGCGGATTCCTTAGCCAATCTAGCCAAATATAACGAGGATTCCCCCATTTCCGACGAGTACGATGCAGAAAGGAAAGGAGTGTATCYATACGAATACATGGATTCTTGGGAACGGTTTGAAGAGCAGCAATTACCACCCCAAGAGGCTTTTTACAGCACCCTAAATGAAGCGGGGATATCCGATGATGAGTATGCCTACGCGCAGGAGGTGTGGGAAAAGCGCGCCTGCAGAAACCTGGGAGATTACCACGACGTGTATTTGCTTTCAGACGTCGTACTACTAGCAGAYGTRTTTCAAAGTTTCCGAAAGATGTCTATGTCTTACTACGGGTTAGATCCAGCGAATTTCTACACAGCCCCCGGGCTATCTTGGAGTGCCCTGCTGAAGAAAACAGATGCCCAGCTAGATCTCCTAATCGACTACGAAATGTATAGATTCATGGAAGACGGAATTCGCGGGGGTGTTTGCGGTCCCAGCCACCGCTACGCGCGCGCCAACAATCCCCAGGTGGAAGGGTACGACCCCGAAAAGCCAACAACTTACATATCTTATCTGGATGCTAACAACCTCTACGGCTGGGCAATGTCCCRGCATCTTCCCGTGCGCGACTTCGAATGGGTAGAACCGCGTGAACCAGAGTACTACATGCGCATAAGGCCTGACAGTCGAAAAGGGTTTATTCTGGAGGTGGATTTGGAGTACCCCCCGGAACTTCACCCCCTTCACGACGATTACCCACTTGCCCCGGAAGCAATTGAAATACCATTCGAGCAGCTATCCCCGCTTCAAAAGAAGTTGTG